TTTTTTTAACAAGCTCGAGGGCATAAAATACCTCATAAAATATGGCCAAAAAATAATGTAACAAAAATAGAAAGTTATAAGGGAAAGTGAAGGGGAACTGGAACGTGGTGAGAACGATAGAAGGAATGCGGGAAATTATTTGTCACCTGTTCATGCTGTTCCGTTGGGGTAGAAGTAGGAAATTGGATACATACCACGAGTATATGTCTGTTTGTTACCAGTACGGAAATGTGAGAATCCCTTCTGCTCTATCTCTTGCATTGTTGCGTTTGGAAGCTTCCTTCTCAATCTCTTATTTGTAAATTGTACAGCTCCGCTCAATTAGCTGCTCTCGAGCAGAATCTTGAGAATCTCATGAAGAGTCAATGTGCGAAACATACTTCTTTCCACTGTTTGAGAATTGCAGGGAACTCCTTCCGAGAAATGATGGCTTAGAATAGATGAAGTCACCCATTATTTCTCATATGCTTTCGAATAATTCTGCCTCTTTTCGCTTAGTGGTGAGTGGCACATGAAATCCCCAGATTTCTTATTCTCATTTCCCAATCTCTAGTTAGCCTTCGGTTGTTTCTCAGTTGCTGTGCTGCTTATATGTTTTGGACTTGCTGCCAAAAGAGAGATACGTGCGACTTCATCTCTGCAAAGGGACGCGGACTTCACAGGCAGGATTCTTGGCTTTCTACTTCTTCCGTGTTGTTCACTAAGCAGTTTTGAAGGATGTTTCAAAGAAGATGTTGACGACTATCTTGTTGATGGAAACACAAAAGTTGTTCTTATGGTGATAGATGCGTGGAGATTATCATTTCTCGTGGATTCCGACTCTCCGATGATGTTTTTGCGCAGCTCCATCACATCTGGACGCGGAGTTGGCTTTGTGGCAAGGGTACAAACACCTACGGTCACGATGCCAAGAATCATGGTATGTGCGATATCTTCAGACGTATGTATCTTACAGACGAAGGGTAATCAGCGTTCATGAATGTACATCTCAATCTGTGATTCTAAGCCATATTCAACTATTGCAGGCTCTAACGAGCGGAACTATCCCGTCGTTTATGTCTCTAGTCACAAATTTCTTTGCTACTGTGAGCACAGAGGAAAGCTGGGTAACTTCTGCTGCGGCTGTGGGCAAAAGGTTGGAAGTGTTTGATTAGAATGGAGAAAAAGAGAAAGAGTTAGACTTTCTTTACGAAGTTTTAATTTTATTCGAATCATTCCGCTAGATTTTCTGCGAAAAAAGAATATGCAATGAATTTCTTGCTATCTGGCTCGCTTTAAAGGTAGGCAGAATGGACCCTCATAAGATTTTGGTGGAGTTAGGTAGTGGACCCCCTAAGTACACC